ATATCTGCATAACCACAGGTAAAGATTCTTTACCTAGCACTAGCACCAAAAAAAAAAAACTTAAGAAAGATAATTTTGATACTATTAAAGTTAAAAACTTCTATCCATCAAATATCCATCAAATAGTGCAACAGAAAAAAAGTTTCCCAAATAGAAGAAAACTTGATCCTTGTGTTAGATAAATCAATATAACAAAGAATTTTTATCAAAACAATTTATAAGCATTAAGCCACAAAAAATTAAGTAAATGAAAAAGCTACAATTAAACTTGTGTAAGTAGTGCTTCAGATGCACATAAAAAATAATCCACAGAACCAGCAAGCGTAACACCATGTGCTCAACCTATTAGTCATCAAAGAAAAGGCAAATTCAAACTCCAAAGAGATAGCAATGCATACCCGTAGGAAAAGTTTTTAGTTTATAAACTAGAAAAAGTCACTGATAACTTCTGGCAAGAATAAAATGCAATACAAAAACCCATACAGGTCTGTAGAAGGAATATGCAATCCAAGGAGTACTGCTTAGAGAACACTTTAGCATTCTCTCTTTAATGTAATATATACATACCCTACAACTTACTGATTCCATTTATACATGTATCTTATACACGTAAATATTCTAATACACACCTATGCACAATACCAGCACTGTTCATGAACAGTCCCAACTAAAATCAACCCAATGTCCACCAACAATTATTTTTATGAAAATAATATATACTTATTCAGTGAACACTTTGAAATACAATCGGTAAATATCACAGTAAGTTTTTTGTCAAGCAGATGAGCTAGGATCATTTGGGAAGAGGAATTCTTAACTGTGAAAATTTCCCTGCCAGATTAGCCTCTGAGGCATTTTATTGATTAATGATTGGTATGGCAGGGCCCAGGTGACAGTGATTGGTGGTACCCCTGGGCAGGTGGTCCTGAATCCTATAGAAACAGCAGGCTGAGAAAACCACGGAGAACAAGTCAGTAAGAGCACTCCTCCATATCCTCTGCTTCAGTTCCTGCCATGAGCTCCTGCCCTGACTTCCCTCAGTGATGGAAGATGACTTGAGACTTGTTAGCTGAAATAAATCCTTTCCTACACTGGTTGCTTTTGATCACAGAGAGTTTTTTTGTTTTTTATTTGTTTGTTTGTTTTCTCACAGCAGTAGAAACAACTAATTCAGACATCCAACTAGCCATGTGTATCCATACAGGTGAACCTTAACATTGAGGCACATAAGGGCGGGGCAGATTACATTCTGCACAAATACATTTACATAAAGCTCAAATACAGAGACCTATAAATGCTTAAGAAGCAAAACATTCAAGAAAGGTAAGAGAAGTTACTACCATAAACATCAGGGTGTTAGCAAACAGGAAAGGGAAAAAGGAATCTGAAAGGGTAGTCAGGAACCTTCTGGAATCCGAGCAATGCTTCAATGTTTTATTTTATAATCAAGAGAGTTGTGTATATATTATTCTATTCTAAAGGATACACTCAATTGATACAGCTTTCCATGTTTTATTTAATATAAAATGGTAAAAATTCAATTCATTCCAACTGAAATCAACTATTTAATAAAGAGGGTCCAAAAATTGCCAGAAAATCTATTTCAAAAATAAAGCAAGTGAAAAATTAAACAATGATTCTAATACTAGTACAGATTTGAATGGATACAACTGCTTTTTACCTGGAATTCAAAATTCTTCTACCGTTCTATGAAAAAAGACATTCATCTAAATACAGTTATTAAATGCTATGATAGGAAAACTCTACTGTGACTGCTAAAGATCCTCTCCTCGTAATATTTATATCTATGTGAGGAACTCCCTCTTAAGTTTAGAGCAGAACAATGTTATTTTTTATTTTAAACAAAGAAAAATTGGTGAAACTGTTAACGTAAAAATGAAGTGTCGACCTGTGAGATGGCTTACGGGATAAAGGCACAGACATCGAGTCAATCATCTCAGTAGGATCTCTGGGATACACAGGGTAGCACAGAACATGTTCCCTCATGATGCCTTCTAATCTACATATGCCACCCCTTCCTATCCCAACTGCACAAAGTAAATAAAATAGAGTAATTATTTAGACTTTAATAAATTAGCTCCTCGGTCACTTGTAATAATTAAAACTAAAATAACCAAAATTAAATCAATCATGGATACACTAAAAAAAAAATGCAGTAGTGATGGTGTATGTACTGATTCCTATAGGCTCCAATATCCAGAAGCACTTGGACAAAATACAGTACAAGTGGAAATGAATCTCAAGGACATTAGACTCAAGCTAAAGGTCCCAGCACAACTTCCCAAGAAGTTTAATGACAAAAACAGAAAACTAGTAACAAAGCCAAGGATTCAATGAAGTAATAGAGATAATACTAGAAATTACAGCTACCAGAGAAAAGACATATTAGACTCACTCATTAACAGAATTACTGCTGGCACACAATTCTCCTTCCCACCTATCATTCCAATTTTTGCACTTTACGACAGGTTCTGTTCAAAAAAAATTTTAGGCGAATATTCATACAAGAATGACTAAACAGAACTGCTCCAGGAACAAGGACAGATACATTTTGTGACTAATACAATAAAAATAGTATCTCTACAGAACAAAGACTAGATAGATTCAGATTTCCTGAGCTTAAGATCCCTTAGCTATAACACAAATCCCTAAGATGGACCAATCAGTCCAGGGGGCTCCACCTCCACACTGCTCTGTGGGATCTGAGAGTCAGAGCAAACTCATGCACAGATGAAACTGAGGCAGACACACATCTCATGGGAAATGAAGTCTTTCATCTCAACCCACCAGGATCAGTTCTTTGGCCAGCACCTACTAAAACTGTGGTGGTGCTAACTTCTTAGTTTGCTACTGAGAGTAAAAGTCTCTGCCCTTTTGAGGTTTTATAAATATAAAAAAATTGTTAACACTTGAAACTATACAGAAAAAAGAAACTTAATAGTGAATGAAAACTTTAAAAATTTCAGAATACAGAAAATTCTCAGACATTTCGTTTAAGTTCTTCCATCCTGATGGCTGGGTTATTCGCTGTACTGACAAGCTTAGTCATCAAGGCCTTTACAAGGTATCAAGTACTTTACAACTAACCAAATATCATTTAAAAGAAATTGTAAGTCTAAGACAAAAAGAAATAAGTGAAGTGACTGTAACACTATTTCATGCATTCCATTTGATAAGTGAAGTAGGTAAGAAATATGAAAGCTAATCAGTTTTATAGAGAATTTTCCACCACAGGAACAGGAGACAGGAGGACTCACAACGTACACACTGCATTTAAAACATCCACAAATCACACGTTTTCAGTTTTGTTACTTGTAGTGATCCAAGGATCAGAGCTTCAACAACATCTAGGACTTGCTAGAAATTAAAGACTTCCTTTAATTACAAAAAAAGAAAAAAGAAAAAAAGATACTAGAGTGACTTGACAGAATAAACTCGTTAGCTTAGGTACTGTGTGTAGTGCTAGAGAGATAGCAATTAAGAGTATTTGCTCCTCACGCACAGGACCTAGGTTCAGTTTTTAGCACCCAAATGGCTCACAAGCATCTGTGAATTCAGTTCCAATGAGGCCCATCCTCCTCCTCTACCCTCCAGAAGCACCAAGCACACTTGTGGTACAATCACATACACGCAGGCAAACACTCACACAAATAAAATAAAAATTTTTTTAACTTTAAAGAAGCACTGGGCTATAAAATAATGTATATAAATGAATAACTGACCATTACCTGCTCTCCCACAAAAACCAAGAGATAAGTGACTGTTAAACATGTAATAAAGATACTGTTTTCTGTTACCATACAAAATAAAATTCCACAAAAGTTGGGATAAAAAAAGTATAGTCACAAACCATGGAAAGAGTGTTTAGCTATTCACACAAGCATATTCCAAATCTTATCTTAACAAAGCCAGAAGTTAGTAACAAGATGAATAACCAAAAAGGAAACTACAAAGATGATATAAAGTTCTATAATTACTAATAATTTTTATTTTCAAGTTAACAATCTAAAACACAGTATTAGGTAGATTATATATTTTAATGAGGTCTTAAAAATAAAAATGTTAGAATTAGGAAGAAAACATATTTTAGAGATTTTTTTTAACATGTTCTCAAGGGCACAGACTTGATCTTTACATATTATCTCTCTCTCTCTCTCTCTCTCTCTCTCTCTCTCTCTCTCTGTGTGTGTGTGTGTGCGTGTGTGTGTGTGCGTGTGTGTGTGTGTGTGTGTGTGTGAAATGACTAAGGAAATATGTGTACTAAATTAGAATATTAGAACATTCTGCTTATAAATCAGTGAATACAAAAATTGTATTTTAGGTATCCTGCATGACTTGAGACTTTGAAAATAGGTTTTGATTATTTTTTTCACACGCATTTTTCTATATCAAAAACTGCAACTTTATAAGTTTTATTTAAATCTCCCTGTTTTTGATGAAAATTCATGACAGCTCTATTTACTACTTCTTATAACTTTAAGATGAATCATTATGGTAAGTGATATACACCGGAGTATTCACCAGGGTCTCATATTGTATATAGTGGCAAATACTCTACCACTAAACTATATGCCTAGCCATTAAAGTAAGATCTACTGAAAACTATGTGGCATATACCGCCAAAAAGGGTTTTTGAAAATAGTGAATTGTGCTGGGCATGGTGGCATGCACCTTTAATCTCAGCACTCAGGATACTAAGACAAGCAGATCACTATGGGTCCAAGATCAGCCTGGTTAAGAGTCCCAGACCGGCCATAATGAGACCTTGCCTAAAAACCAAACCAAAACAAAAAAGAATACAACAACACCAAAGAAATAGTAAGGTTTTTTTTTTTTAAATAACAAAGATTAAGAATCCCCCCCCCCAAATTAAAGGCTTCTAAATAAAAATATTTAAATGTTTCAACCTAAAATGCTTATACACAATAGGAACAAAGAATAACAAAAACTAAACATAAAGTAAACATGAAACAACATACCTCTCTCTTATTTCTCCTTGCAACCTTGAGGAATTCCATAAGGATCTGTAGTTGAGCTGCATGTGATTCCTAGAACATAAAGTTTTAATATTCCTTAACAAATACAAGCTCAGAGTTTTCACTAACCAACTGTACAACAAGTACTACAGATCTACTTAAGTTAGTTTATTACTTCTATCTAATCAGTTTTCCCATCTGCTAATTGCAATTTCAAAAACCAAGATACTTTCTATAAAAAGAAAGAAAGAAAGAAAAACAAGAAATTTATGCTCTGCATGTTAAAAAAACCCACCATGTGTAGGTAATGGCTTCTTTTCCCCAACCAAACTCAGCAACATCAAGACAAAAATAACAATGGACTTGATGTAGTTCCTAAACATGAAAATGATTTTCCAGAAAGTGTCATTTGCTAGGATAAGCATTAATAAATAGGAAGTTATCTCTAACTTTCAGAAACGTAGGCTCTCATAAGACTGAGCCTCCTACCATTCACAGGTGTTTATAGGGGGCTCTGAAGCCTCTGTCCTGTAAAGAGGAAGCAGCTCTTTGTCAGTAGAGTAGCTACCCTTGAGAATCCCTCTAAGAAACCCTTATTTGGACCTGGGTGGAATAGTTTCTTTGATATGAAGCTGCTGCCCTCTATTTGGGGTAAACAGAAATACACTGCCAGGAAGTCATACAACACCTACTCACACAGATATGACAATTGATATAAATATATTTTGGCAAAGTTTGCTTTAAAAAAAATCAAACGTCTGAAAACACACACAAATAAAAATAAAATATATATTTATATATAAAGGAGGATAGAGTACCCCAAACTAATAACTGATTGATGACTGTATTGATAAATGATGATTACGACCATGACATTTGGTATGTATCCTAAAATTCACAAAATGAACTAAGGAATTCCAGATGTGTAGAATAATATGTATGTCAAGACCTAAAAACAGCCAGACTGTGGTGGTACATGCCTGTAATTTCAGCACTCAGGAGGAAGAGCCAGGTAGATCTCTCAGTGTATGTAGGAAATTATAAAAATATATTTTAAAAAAGAATGAAACAAAAGAAACAAAAAAGGTACTAGAATATAACTAACAAAGGCCTATATAATAATTAAAAAAAAAAAAACTAGTTTCTGCCAGAGAAGGGAGGAGGGAGATCTAATTTTCTCCTGAGGCAGAGAATGAAGATCTGACTGAGGTAAATAGGAAGGGACCACTGACTCCATCCACTTCTTTATCTTAATAAGTGTGTGTGTGTGTGCTGTTGTGTTGTATGTGTGTGTACCTGCACATGTGGAGGTCATGAAACAATATTTTACAGTCAATTCTTTCTTTCCACTATGGAATCTAGGGAGAGAATTCACTCATCCGGTTTGCATGGCATGGCCTTTCACCCTCTGAGCTATCTTGTCAATCCTCCACCTGCTTCATAAACAGTCTACCAATCCTATGCCTGGTTTTACTAACCCTGACACCTGATACTCCCAACTGCAGAGCCTCTGTCTCACAATACATACAGTGTAAGTTCTTAGCTTTGTATCACTGTTGGTTCAGTGTACAGTTTTGTCTACCTTGAAAATCTATTACCCCATATTCATCTGCTTCAGAACTTAAAAAAACGGGCTTAAGAAATACTTTTTTACATGTGTTTAGTCTAATTTAAAAAAAAATTGGTACTGACAACACCTTATTATTTCCAAAACATTCTAGGCAATTTTATTACATAATAGATTATCATTTAAAACAAACTATCTTCTAAGTTTAGGCACCACTTACTGCTTCCAGTTGTTTCTTCTTCTGTACTAGTAATTCCAACATGAGGTTGACATTGGCCAAATCAAGGTTATCCTGATCAGTTCCTAGCAAATCTTGAAATATTTGCCACCTATGTCCATTCTAAAATTAAAAAGAACATGGAAAATTAACACGGTTTTAAATTCTAAAGCAAACACTGAAGAAGTACTTTCTACATCAAAAGCAAACTGCATTCTCATTCTTACTTCTCCCCAATTCGTGGAGCACAATTTAAACACTAACTCTACTTTCAATGAATATATAGCTAATAAGTATAAAAGGCACACAGAAAGCAAACATTAAGTTGACATCTCTAAGTAATTAAGTATATTAAGTTGACATCTCAAAACACCTGGATTTTCAGACTTGCATTTGGTAAAATATTAATTTAATCACAGCTGTCTCAACAATTAGGGGCTAATCCTTTTAGTTAAGAAACTTTGCACAGCTTGTTCAAAATACCTTGACATATGACCTGTCACATGCTATATACAAATAAACCCTATTTAAGGTGATATACCACCAGGTCCTTCAAATGATGGTCAGTCTGGTAAACTACTACAGATAATACAGTTAAACAAGTTATTATTTAAGTATTCTTAAATAAATGTGTTTAAGAAAAGTCAATTATTTCTTAGGTATTAATATCTATTATCAAATAAAAAAATTAAAATGAATTTAGTAGAAATAGGAGAAAGGGGGGGGCTAAGAATATTGTTTAGTTCACAGGGCACTTGTCTACTATATACAAAGCCCTGGGCTCAATCAGCAGTATTATAAAACGAACAAAAACAGTAATAGTAATAAGAGCTGAAACATACGGTGCTACTCACTGAGTGGTCCAATTTGAACCTCTTTTCCTCAAATCTTTGCTTCTGTTTGAGAATGAGTTCATTCACTGAAAACAAAAATAAAAAAGCACACAAAATTTGTATATTTGTTTTATTTATCTTCTACTTGTTCTGTTCAGGTAGATTTTATCTTAACTTTACAGAGTATCAAATTTAAAAAAATATAAAGGACAAATTGTTAGCTTTCTATTCTATTTTGAACTAGGAAAATATTTTCTATAATTGTCATACGAAATTCTTTATAATTAATTCTATTACTGCAGAAAATTCTTTATAATATACACCCCTCTTTTATATGTTTCTCAATACTAATACTATTGGTATCTGGAAAAGAGATTATTTTTCATTGTGTGAAAACACACGTATTCTATGAGACAAGCACTGAAGATTTTACTTTGTTGTAACTTTTCTATAAATCTAAACATTTTGGAAGAGACTGATAATTAACTATTCAAAATCATTTCACTGTTCTTAGTAACAAGATTATTTTTCCAGAGCTGGAGAGATGGCTCAGAGGTTAAGAGCACTTGCTCTTCCAAAGGTCCTGAAATCAATTCCCAGCAACCACATGTTGACCCACAACCATACGTAATGAAATCTGGTGCTCTCTTCTGGCCTGCAGGCATACATGTAGGCAGAACACTAAACAAACAAACAAACAAATAAATAAATAAATAATTTTTAAAAGGTGTCACTCATGTACCTGTTTTTTAAAAAAAGATTAATCTCAGACTGCCATATATAACTTTCAGGGATGTCAAATCTGTTCTCAATGGTGTGACTAATCAGAAGCCAAACTAGTGACTTTGTTCTTAGCCAGGAATTGACACGAAGTCAAAGTCACACAGTTTGATTTTGGTTTTCCAGACAAGGTCTTACTATGTACCAAGCTTGACTAAGGTTCCTGATGCTTCTACCTCAGCCAGGGTTATATGAATGCCACACACAGCCCAGAAACACACACATTCCTGGTCAATTAGAGATGTGCTCTCTTTCAGATGAAAGAAAAAAAAATTCTTTCTCTCTCTCCAGAAAGAGATGGTATCTGATACTTCTTAAAGTCATTTTGAAGTTCTGGGGTAGCTATGTAATGAATCAAGGCATATCCTCATGACAGAAAAAAAAATATTATCAAGGAAGTGCTAAGTAATTAATTCTGAAAATTCTCTCTAAATGAATACAATTTAAACAATGTTTAAGGGACTTTAACTTGTATTTGGGATTTTTGTTGTTTTTGTTTTTGCTTTTTTGTTTGTTCGTACAGACAAACATACTAATACCAAAAGAGCTGATAAATGGTGTTAGAAAATTCTATTATGATGCAGAAACTATTTGAGAAACAAATGGAACAAGACAGAGTTGATATTCAAGATGAAATGCTGAATATGGTCCACCACACAAACAAATCAAAATAGATTCCAAACCACCTTGGGTTTGAAGCTTCAAAACTGAATGAAATGATCTACAGCCTCAAATAACTCAAACTAGCAAAAGAGATACATATGGTATAGTAGTTATAATATAATGGGATAACTAATACTATCATTGATGTAGACTTACAGAGTACACAGGCCATCTAAAGGTCAAATAAGAATGGAGCCAAACTATGCATAGACTCTCTAGATATAAAAAGATGAATAAAAAAAATACAGATAAAAGTATATATTTACAAGTTGTGACCTACTCATGAAACATCAGAGGATGGTTTTGTGAAGATTAATAGGGCTAAGATTTAGAACCAGAATATTAATACATCAGTCTGGTTCTAAAAAGTGGGAAACAAACACCTCATAAAATTATTACAATCTGATAAAGAGAGAGAGAGAGAGAGAGAGAGAGAGAGAGAGAGAGAATCTGAAATAATACAATGGAGAATGAACAAGTAACAATAAACCAGAGTGGTGCTAGAGAACGGCTAATCAGTTAAGGGACTTTGCTTCACTTAGAGAGGACCACCTTCGGTCCCCAGCAACCGTATAGCAACTTATGGCCACCAAAGCCTTTGTCTGGCCTTCTTGGCATATACTTGGTACACATAAATATATGCAAACAAAAAGCTCATAGACACATAATAAAAATAAACCAAACTTTTAAAAAGAATAAACTAAGTTTAATGTTTCAGTTATATTACATTATTAGCATTTAAATAAGAACTGTGACTTAAATAGTTACAATACTGCATGCTATTAAGTATCTTAAAGTCTCACACGCCACTCTCTGATTCTTACCAACACATTACATGGTTTTTAAAGGTTACAAACTGCAAAAACAGTTATAGAAAACAAAGGTTAAAATGAAAAAGAAAATACATTAATAGGTATGAAGTATTATAGCATACACCACTATAGAAAGATTATATTACAATAAAAAGGAAAAACAGGCATGGTGGCACAGGTTTATAAACACAGCAGCATTTGGGAGTACCGCATGGTAAAAATACAAGCACCAAGGACAAGCTGAACTGTACAAAAAAGAATAGCACAATCTCAAACACTTTTAGCAAGGAAATAATGCAACTAAGCAAAATAAGCTTTACATTGACTCAGAACTTTTGTGTAGATACTGAAAACGCTTGATTATTTTTCCCTTCAAAAACTATACTTCAAAGGTGTTATGCACAATACTGGAAGAGAAAACCAACTGTCAATCTTATGCCACTGTGAAACATTTGATCTGTATTAACAGCCTGTCTAGCAAGGCATATCTCACCAGTACAAAAATGGAACAACCACTACGGGATTAACCATCCACTTTCTGACTGGATTTAATGACCAATCCACAAAATGAAACCATACCCGACACCACTGTCAGGCCTAAACCTGTGACTGGACAGGTACGTAAGTTCTAGAGGAGAACCTCCTACAATTATTCTGCTGAATGGACAGACAGTATTACACTTAACTGTCAACTAATAAAAGGCCACACATCTAAAACTATATGGGCACCACAAACTGGACTTGATAAGCATAAAAGAAAGAGGACACAAGACTAGGTTGGTAGGGAAAGAGGAGATAGATTTGGAAGGAATTGGGAGAAGGGTGAATATAGTCAAAATACAGTGTATGAAATTTTCAAAGAATAAAAATTACTTTTTTAATCAGGCAGTGGTAGGCCATGCCTTTAATCCCAGCACTTGGGAGGCAGAGGTAGGTGGATCTCTGTGAGTTTGAGGTCAGCCTGGTCTACAGGGTGAGTTCCAGGGCAGGCACCAAAGCTACACAGAGAAACCCTGTCTTGAAAAACAAAAACAAAAAAAAAATTTTTTTAAATCATGTCTTTAAACAGTAGTTTGGCTGGGAAATAAAAGAACTGATTTTTTTTCTTTTTTTTCTTACGTATATTTTACTTCTTATAGAATTTCTTTAAAAAATATCTTTTAGTTTTCATTTTAAAATGTGAATAAAGTAGAAGTCTCTTAAAATACAAGCTCCATATGATTGACTATTTGGCATGAAACTTTTAACCAAGACTTTATATCTCTAATCAGGTCTCAGAAAAATGACTGAGAAGAAAGGTAAAGTCTATATTACTTTAATAGTAATAGTATAGTAACCCGAGTTACTCAACTGGTTTGTGTCTCAGTGTCATCATTTAAATAATAAGTATAATCAGACTGTATCTCATAAGACTTCATAAAGATTAAATTAAGCCATATCCATAAAGTATATAATATAGTGTCTGGAGCTCTGACTGCCTAAGAGTGAATATATGTATGGGACAGACAGACAGACAGGCAAATGGGAAGAGGGGGAGAGGGTAGGGAATGAGAGAAGAGGAGAATGAGAACAGGGAGAAAGGGAAGAAGAGGGGACAGAATCTCCCTGTGCAGCCAAACTTAGAACTAAATTTAAAATCCCGCTACTTTATCCTCTGAAATGCCAGGAGATTACAAGTGTTCACCACCATACAGGTCTAAATATAGATTTTTAAGCTTATAAAAAGAGGTAGATTCAGAACAAAACTAAGAAAAGTTAAATTACAAACTTTATAAACAAAGAAACACACATACTTGGAGGGTGGGGTGGAAAGCGGGGATAAACTAAAGAGTAAGTCTTGAAAATGGTGGTAGTACTTCAAGACTCAAGGGAAGAAAAAAGGAGCCCTAAGAGTATTGAGGGTGTTTTAGGTTTTGTCAATTTCCTTCCTTTTCAAGTCTGAGTAATAGTCTACTTTGTGTTTTATCCACTTTGCCTTCCATGGCTCCAGCTCCTGTGAACAACGATTCTAGGAATGTGCACATACAAATACTTCTGCAGAACTCTTCTTCCAATTTTGCTTGGTATCTACTTATAGTAAATTGTTAGATCATGAAAATATTATTTTCAGAAAACACCATACTGTATGTATTCCACTCCAAACACAACACACACAGCTTCTCCATGTCTTTGCTTTTTTTTACTAGCTAGCAGCCACCTTAATGAGTAATCTATGCTTTTTGAGTTCCCTTTTTCATATTCTTTAGGTTGTTTTGCTTTTGCTGACTTACTCCAAAGGATACCTAAAAGGGTAGAAGGAAGAACCAGGTCTGGATTTTCACAGGGTCAGGTAGTAAGGTAGGCGGGAAGGACATGTAGTTGCCTGCTCTCTCCAGGCATGCCACTCTTCTAGTACCTCCACATGTTCAGCCACATGCACACCTCTGCACCGGACATCGTTTTGTTTCTTACAGAGGCTTTTCATTAAGTTGTAGGAACTGATTAAATCAATGGTCATTAAATCAACTGACCCTTCAGTTCCTCTCATCTCCGTGTTGATGAAGGTGAGCTTGAAGCTACAAACATCTACAAAGTAGTTAGTCCCCTGAGCAACCTAGAAGCTCCCAGACATCAGACAATTCATTTTACCTGTTTTTCATAGGAAGTAGAACATTCTACTTGGAACTAGTCATCCTCATGAATTATTTATGTTTATTATTGGTATATAAGATTAGCCTTAGTATTTCTGCTATGTTCTAACAATCCTTATTCCCTTAATTTGTATTGAAGTTAAATTGGGTCTGTAATTTTATGTTAAGAAATTTAGTGTGCAAAATTAGTAATAACTTATTATAAGACAGGGTCTGCCTGAACCACACAGGATCTTTCTGCATTAGTCTCCCTGTGCCGGGTATGAACACATGCCACCACATCCAACTAAAGCCATTAATTTTTAAATTCACAGTTAGCACCTGACTACATTACTTCCAAGTTTTTACCACTCATAATTAAAGTTATAATACAATTCTTACATTTCCATATCAAATTCTTTATTTATATCTTCCTCCTCCAACTGGGCGACGACCTTTCCAGTTCATGTACTCTATACTCAGGAATCTCCATTTTCAGCTTTTTTATTCTCCTATCAGTCAACACTGATCAAGCATATGTCCTCCCTCCCTGTCAAACCTTTCCTTTGTTACTTCTCACTGCTAAACTGTCAGGAGAAACATAGAAACACAGAATAAATTCTACATACAGAGACACAAAGTGTTCTAGACCTTACATTCTGTCCAAACATGTACACAAAACTCTAAAGGCCATGTTGGGTTTTGCTTTTATGAAACTGAAAAATAACAAGAAATGGTACTAACCATGTATAGAGTCTATGCCATAGCCCAAGAAGATGAAAGCACCCTGGTGAGTAACAGAGAAAAACTTGCTTACTTCTGAGTCGGGATTTCTGAACAAACTATTGTCAGCATATATTTTGTGGAAAGAGTATAGTAAAAATAATTTAAAGACTCACCCAAGAAATTAGGATAGAGATGGTCAATATTGTCCACAACATAATTACACTTGGGACATCTATTATTATTGTCCTCCAAACTCTGATGAATACACTTGTAGCTATTAGCATGGGGGAAGAAAAAACACAAATTATAACAATGAAGAAATTAACAAACTGGCCACAAAACACTATCTATTAGTGCTCTCACTTTCAACATAACTAATATAGCCAATTTATTACTACTTATATCTCTGTATAACAAACAAAATACATAAAACATTTATTAACTGAACAATATATAAACTATTTCAGCATTTACTGAGTAAACAATATATAAACTATTTCAAAATAAACTCAAAAAGTCCTATATATAGCATAAAAGACAAATGAGGACTAAATTCTAGGTTTCACACTTATAGTATATTCTAGAAAAGCAAATGCCTATGGTCTAATGAATCTTGGGAGTATTTATATTACACAGAGCTCAAACAAAAACTCTTAACTATTAAGTACTCAAGCAAAGACAAAAATCTAATGAAGAAGAATGAGAAAATCATCACCTTCACTATATAACAAAAGTCACATTCGCTTTAGAAGAACAAAAGTGATTCAAAATTACGTGTTAATTTTTACTAACAGGAATGGAAAAATAAAAGAAAATATTGTTATATTCCAGAAGACATAATTGTAAATAACTGAATGAAATAAAACCAATAAAACTTTCCTAAAAAGCATAATCAGAAAAAAATCCTCAAGGTTTATATTCCTTTTAATATGGTAAATTTTATTTATAGGGATTTATTATCAGGAAACATCAAAGAAACAGCATCACGGCATCGTAATAACAAACTATAATAGAAGCAACCTAAACTACATAAACTGACTAAATCTGTAATTATCAATCCAATACAATGTATACTAGCCATAAAAATGACATTTTACCTATGTATTATACCATATATTATTTAAGAATGTTATAAAATGTTACATATATAACTGTATTTCATAAGAAATTTTCTTTCTTAAATTTTTGTGACATACTACTTTTTTAAAAATGCTAACTTTATTAGTACTCTATGTGTGATGGTGAGAAGCATATTCGAAAGATCAGAGGACAGCTTTGTGGAGTAGGTTCATTCCATCCATCTTTACATGGCTTCTACAGAGCCAACTCAGGTTGAGATTTGCATTAATAATAACTACATGGTTGATTTCCATACTTTCCCTTCAAGAAAAAAAGAAAGAAAGGCCTGTGATAGAGTCAAAAAGAATTGTTCTTGGTAATATGGAACTGACTTTTCATACTGGACTGGAAAATATCAATCTATACTAAAAGAATTAAAGTGCAGCAACTTACATACCACCATATAAAACTTAACTAACTGGAGGTGACCTCTAACTCATTAAAGGCAAATATTTCTTTTGCTTTCCTCTGCGCCTTTAAAATCTAGTCTGACACCCTGAGTTAGAAATCAATAATGCATGAAGAAACAGATATAACAAAGAAGGGGGAGAGGGAGAGGGAGAGGGAGAGGGAGAGGGAGAGGGGGAGGGAGGGAGGGAGAGAGAGAGAGAGAGAGAGAGAGAGAGAGAGAGAGAGAGAGAGAGAGAGGCGCACCAAAGTTGCAGGGAAGGACTTTTAGTGGCACGACTTTGTTTTGGTGAAGTAGAACATGGTTTTTGGGAGACACCAACAAGGAGAGAAGGTCAGCTCGTTGTTACTCAACCCCTCTGAGCTAGCAGGTTTTCACCCCAGCCTTTGAATATTGAATCTATGTATAAATACAATGATAAATATTTAGTTAAAGCTACCTTTAGCGACAACAATAGAGCCAGTGCCTGCAGGAACAAAATTCCCGCCAGACCTGGAAGCACTGCCACATAAACAGGCCAGAAAACTGCAGAGCTGCAATTACTGGCTGAAACAGCAGCAACTGTGCCAAAGATAAAACAACATAACACTGCTCTCAGAAGCCATTAAGTTATTAAACAAAAATCTGACTGCCACCTCTGTGTAAGTAATTAGTCAGGAAGGTCCCAAAGGTCCCAAAGACAATGCAGGCTGATGCTACTACTCTTTACTGTCTACTAGACTAGATAATAAGCAAGACCCTACTGCTAAAATATACCCCACACATAAGTCAAAGGACTGAAATCAAGCAAGAACTGTGCTAGAAGTTTTCTTCCTTCTCACTAGCATTTATAGTAGTGAAGGCATTATGCAGATTTCTGGGGTAGAAGAGTCACCAAGAGTCTTACCCATCTGTGAACCTGGCAAGCTACAATAACCTCCCATGCAAGATGTGCCCACAGGTGCCAATAGTAGTGTATTTGTTATGGGAGTAACCAATTGTTTTCTGATGGGGCTTTAGGCTTGCTGCACAGTATGAATTTATGTCAGGCAGTATAAATCTGTTCAAGGAGGTTTTGGACCTAGGAGAGAGTCTACCCACTGCTGTTCTGCTATATGGATAGGATGTCAAAATGCTTCGTAAATAATTGTTTATGCCCACGTAGTAGCACTTCTCCTTGTAATGGGCTACAGTTAACCAAAGACTAAAAATAAGTAATTTTTGAAAGATCAGCCCCCAAAAGAGGGGGGGGATGTTTAATCCTCCCCACCCCAATCTTAAGGAACATGGAAGAAAAGAACAGAGATGGGAAAGAAAAACTACTGTGAAATGCTGTCTCTCAGACATGACACAACTTTTGTAAGTAGCACAGCAGTGGCTACTTACCCAAGACCTCTAAAAGACTGGGTTCATCAGTAAGCCATCACAGATGGGGGAGGGCCACATAAGTCCCTAAGTTTTTTCCAGGAACTATAGACAATTAATGGTCACCAGGGTGGGAGGCACAGATCATATTCAACAGTGTGGTAAGCTGTCCTTGCTTAAGTAAATAACTGCCGGTCCATGTTCACTCAGGCACCCTTTAATAAATGCAGTGGGGCCACAGAAAAACAAAGACAAGAGCTAAAGAAAAGGATTAGTGGGGTGAGGAGCCTTGGTAAGAACAAGAGGGAGGTAAAAGAAGAATGTAATCATATACATGTATAAAATTTTCAAATAAATTAATCAATAAAAAATGAAAAACGGCACGTAAGTAGGAGGGGGACTTCTTAGTAAAAGTATTTGGTGGGAAGGAAGGGGATAAGAATATATAATGAGTACGGTATTATGATTACAGTACATTATTATGTATGAATTGTGAAAGAATAAAATTTCAAAGAAAACTGAAAAATAGCACAGCAAAAAAGTTCTGAAAAAAAGATGTACTCATTCCTTAACAGTGAAAACTTCTGAAAATGGAGAAAAAAGCAACTAAGAGAGACATTTACTTTCTGTAGCACAGCATTCTATATGACAAAAGTTGCTTTTCTAAATCAAGAATATATAGTGGTATAATTTTATTTTAATGGAGAATATAAATATTACAAATTAAGTAAATTAGCTTAATCTGAACTTCTTATCTAATCCTGAAACATCATACTCCAGATCAATGGCCTCACCCACTATTAACTCAAGGATATCTACCTGCCAAATGTCATGCCCACCCATTTTCAACATAAAATTAACAGGCACAACTTCCAATATGGACTAAAGAAATATTAAGGTTAATCTTACATGCTAACAGTACCCATAAATAATTCATGAATATGGCTGATCCCAAGTAGAATATCCTAGTTCTAATGGGAAAAATAACAAATAAGGCCAGGTGTCTGATGTCTGAGAGCTTCTAGGTTGCTCAGGGGACTAACTACTTTGTAGATGTTTGTAGCTTCAAGCTCACCTTCATCAACACAGAGATGAGAGGAACTGAAGGGTCAGTTGATTTAATGACCACTGATTTAATCAGTTCCTACAACTTAATGAAAAGCCTCTGTAAGAAACAAAACGATGCCCGGTGCAGAGGTGTGCATGTGGCTGAACATGTGGAGGTACTAGAAGAGTGGCATGCCTGGAGAGAGCAGGCAACTACATGTCCTTCCCGCCTACATTACAACCTTACCCTGTGAAAATCTAGACCTGGTTCTTCCTTCTACCCTTTTAGGTATCCTTTGAAGTAAGTCAGCAAAAGCAAAACAACCAAAAAAAAAAAAAAAAAAAAAAAGGTGGATATCAAAAAGAATTGGAAGCAGAGTTCTGCAGAAGTATTTCTGTATGTATACTGTAACAGTGTGACTAAGAGTTCTCCTTAATGGCTCATATATTTGGCAATGTTTGGGAGAGTTGAAAGGTCCATCTTTGCCAGAGAAGTATATTACTGGTGGAGGGTTTTAGTGTTTATAGTCTCTCCCACTTGCTGTTCCCTCTCTCTACTCTGAATCATATTTGAAAATGTGAGCTCTCAGCTTAACAATCCTGCCACCATGCCTGCTGCTTGCTGCCATGCCTCCTCACCACAATGCACTCCTTTCCCTCTGGATTGGAAAACTCTTGACTTTTCCATCGATAAGCTGTTTCTGATCATGCTGTTTTATCACAATAACAGAAAAGTAATTAATACACATTCATGGCAACATTATTCATAAGAGTCAAGAGATAGACTCAACCTAATCATCATAGATGGCTGGATAAACAAAATGTCACCTGTACATGTAACAAAATACTACTTAAAGTTAAAAAGGTAAGTGTGTCACAATAGAACACAGAAGAATTCAAAGGACATTATGTGAAGTAAGTCACTCATAGAAAGACACATATGATCTGTGGTGGTTTGAAAGAAAATGGCCCCCAAAGGGCTTGCTCTAACAAGAGGTGTGGCTTTGCTAGTGGATATGGCCTTGTTGAAGGAAATGTGTCACAGTGGGAGCAGGCTTTAAGATTTCCTATTGCTCAAGATATGGCCCATTATCTTTCTGTTGCTTGCAAGACGTAGAGTTCTTATCTACCTGCATGCCATCATGCCCCTGCCACGATGATAATGTATGTATTGAACCTCTAAAACTGTAAGCAAGTCACCAATTAAATATTTCCCCTTTATAAGAGTTGCCATGATAATGGTGTCTCTTCCAAACAATTAAAACCCTAACTAAGACATGATCTAAGTACACATATATGTGATATCTAGAAGTAGCAAACACAAACACAAAGTAGAATACTGGATTTTGTGAACTGCAGAGATGGAAAGTGAATCATTGTTTTAAAAAGTATAGTTTCAGTTTTGAAAAAAGAACAAGTCCTGGAGACTATACAATAATGAACAACGATAGCACAACATAATTATCAAGATGGGTAAGACTGCAAAATAAATAGATCAAAATAACACAGTAAGTCTAAAGACAACACAATATAATGAAGTATTAACAAAGACAGCATAGGACATTTTAATCCACTCCATCCTTTTCCTAGGTTTGTGCCACCTGTTTTAAGGGTCCTCTCACCTTACTTCCAAGTGAGTAACTGGTATCTCGTGCTTAATGAATGATTACCCACCTTAATTTTCTAAAATATCACCGTTTCTGCTAACAGGAAATAACCATAAGATTTTAAAGCCTCTATTTCATAGAAGACATGTACTAAACACATTTTACATCTTGAGCTGTCAAACCAAACCCATCAGTTGAAGAAACAATCTAAAATGAGTTTAAAGGGCATAACTTCTTGTTAGTTGCACTTATACTGAATGAAAACCATCTTACCAAAAGCTATGGCCACATTTTGTCATGTACGCCTCTTCAATCATATCAAAGCAGATGGGGCTACAAAGAAAAGAGAAAAACCAATCACTAATAAATGTTTGTTAAGGTAGAGTACTACACATTATAAGGGCTAGTGACCTAAAGTTAACCAAATCAAATTTAATATATAGCTAAGAGTTAAGTATTCTAATTTTCTCAACAGAAATTTATAGGACTATTAGTAAAAGTAATATATTCAAGCTGACCCAGGGAGCAATACATTCTAAACTAAGCACAGGGAATACACTTAGATTATTCAAACATTAACACAGCCCATATATGATGTCCTGATGCTGTGAGTTAAATTTCAATTCTAATTCTCCTCTTCCATATTCTTCTATAGAAGATCAAAACAACACTCAAAATCCCTGCATTCTTTGCACTTAAAACTGGCCATAAAGAGTACGATGAAAAAAAAAAGTATGATGAATGGGTATAAAGTTATAGTTAGGTAGGACAAGTATTTTGAATGGTCTAAATCATAATATGATAACTATGGTTAACACAAAGAAACTAAACATTTTAATTGGCTAAGCCAGGATATTTTCAATGTTCCTACCACAAAGAAATGGTAAATTCCCAAGGTGACAGGCATACCAAATTGTATTAATCCAATCATTACATATTATACACATGTACTGAAAAGGTGCACTCTTAAGTACACAAAATAACTATGTGTCAACTAAAAAAAAATAAAGGGAGCTGGGGTGGCTCAGTTGGCAAAACATTTGCCTTACAAGTAAGAGGACCTGAGTTCCATTCTTCAAATCTATGTAAATGTGTATGATTTGTGAGCCAGGGAGGCAAAGACAGAATTCCTGGGGATCCCCGGGTGGCTAGTATAGTCTAATTGGTGAGCTCCCAGCCAATGACACTGTTTCAAATAAGGTGAACAATAATCCTAAAGATGAAAGTCCTCTGGCATGCTCCTGTTCACACACACACACACACACACACACACACACACCTACCTCTCGAAAGGGCCCAATGGAAATGTATTTTCAATTGCTATCTTCTTTTATTGTGTACATGCATCCACCCACACTGATTTTGCACAAAGCCTCATACACACTAGGCATTCCTGATCTAAGATATGTCCCCGGCCAAAACAGAATTTTATTATACTTCTCTCTTTAGACTTACACAAACTTTGTCTTACATCATGTATGTGAATTACACATAAAAATCAAATCAGGGTTCTTACAAATGCATATGTTTTAGTATTTTACTGATTTAATTTTGGGGGGGGGGTGGTATGTATGTTTGGGTGGTAGTATATGCATGTGTGTATGTTCATATGTCCGAATGCTAGCCCATCTGGGTGAGTGTAGAGGTGATAGGTCAATGTCGGGATGCCTTCTTCAATAACTCAACCTTTTAAGTGGGGGGAAAAGGGGAGAATAAGTCTCTCACTGAATTTTGAGTACACTTCTTCTACAACATTGGCTAGTGAACTCCAAATTCATCTGTCTCCAACCCCTAGCACTGAGGTTACAGGCGTGTACATTGCCAACTCCACCTTTTAATGAGGATATGAACTCAGGTCGTCATGCATATTCAGCAAGCACTTTACCTACTGAACTATACTCCCCAGTATAAATTAGCTTTTATTTTTTTTATTTTTTTGGAGGCAGGATCTTTGCGTAGCCCTGGCTAGCTAGGAACTCAGAATGTAGATCAGGCTCGCACTGGAACTCACATAGCTATATACTTGTCTCCTCCCAAGTGCTGGGATTAAAAGATGTACACCCAGCTAAACTTGATTTTATCTGTGTGTGCAGGTCCTATGGCACATGTGCAGGTTAGAGGACTCTCAGCAGCTGGCTCTCCTTCTGTTAAGGATCCAGAACAGACTTCAGACTGGTTTATGCAACTGTTAGATCCATCATGCCACTTCACAGGATTCTCAAGTAGCCTGTCACCAACAGCCAATTTTTCACACAATAATAGCCAGTACTTTAGTGATGCCTCATCACTAAAAGATTTATTTAAAAGAATCCATAATAGAACCAAACACCACTGTCACTAGGATCTTAATGCCACCTTTAAACTTTGCCATGTATTCTACAACTGATTTCAATTGTGGAATTCTGCTGAACGTATCTAATTTTCTACATCTCAGAATCACTTGTTCCTCGCTCCTACAATTAGCTCAAAAAAAAAAGAAACAATTAATTCAAAATTATTAAGGAGATTTTCTTTATTTTGCCAAAACCTACATTCATGCCTTGAGGCAGGGTTTTTGTTTGTTTTGTTTTTTGTTTGTTTGTTTTTTGCTTTTTAAGACTGGGTTTCTCTGTGTAACAGTCCTGGCTGTCCTGGAGCTCACTTTGTAGATTAGGCCAGCCTTGAACTCACAGAGAACTGCCTGCCTCTGCCCTGGCTGGAATTAAAGGCAGGGCAGATATTTTATGTACACACATCTGCATGAAATGATAGCTACATCTAACCACTATTGTTATGGGACCATCAACTGTAACATACAAACCAATGTTTTAGAATGTCAAAAGATAAAACAAGTAAAAGATAGTTAAATTTATTCTCAGAGAAAGCTAATGAAGTACAGTTCACTTGTTTGAGGTCAACATCTAACTGGGGAGAACTTTCCTTTGATCATATTACTCAGAAAACTAGATAAAAACAAACAACCTCTTTTAAACACTAAACACTAGTCAGCACAGGACTGGACCCTTGAGAGAAGGGACAAAAATGAACAAATTTTTATGTGGACCCAGTTTATTGTGGACTCATTATTTTCCCTGAAAGCATTTTGTAGGTTGTCATAACACAAGCAGAACAACTAATTGAGCACTTAAGGAAGCATAAAGGGACATCAGAAAGAACTCTGGAACAGCCACATAAGCTTTCTCCCCTTTGTTAGTGAGTAACTGTGACTGTATTAATGGTCCAACTGCACAAGATCAGGAATAAGAAGATGGAGCTATTGTTCAAACTCCAGGTGTCGACAGATATCCCAGAAGAGATAGTAGAAGTAGTCCCAGCCTTTCAGACTCTAGGAAAGAATTAGTTCTTGAAACTTGCCTTTAAAGTGCTACTTCATTTTAATTAAAAAAAAAGAAATCAAAAAGAGCAAACTGGTCGTCAAGTCAACAATGTCTACCACCAAAGTGTGTGTGTGTGTGTGTGTGTGTGTGTGTGTGTGTGTGTGTGCGCGCTTGTGTGTGAGAGTTGAGCCTATGGCATCATGCTAGGCACCCAAATGAAAACAGAACCTATGAACAGGAGGGGAAACAGTCAATAAAGAAAACAGAATGATGACAAAGGAATGTCCTGACAAGTATTACTAAAATTGTCAGTGGTTACAAGGAACCATAACCCAACACTGCCACTAGCAGCCTGCATTCCACCCTCAGGGACCTCCACTTAGATAAAGGCTGATTCTTGGCTCTGCAGCCAAAGACACTTCAAGATGATCTAGGGTTAAGCTAAGTCGGTGAGTTTACTAAATAATTGCTCAGATAGTCATATATGAAAAGGACAACATACATTCTCAAAACATGGGTGCAGTCTTCTGCAGAGAATTCTGCTTAGGTGTGCCATTATAACAGATATGTATGGGATCCTGTAACTTTCTATTTTACATTTTCAGAGGATGTAATTTATAAGTTTTAAAGGTTAAGACTTGGAATTTAAATTTAAAAATTAAGAAAAAATTATGAACTAGTTTGTATTTTTATTATTCTATAGAACTCCCTTTTGGTTTTATGAGATCATCATTTAGATTTAGAGATTGAAAGTTGATATGGCAAAACCCAAGTCTCCAAGTAACATAGTTCATTTGCTGTGTTTAACATCCTTGCATGAGATGTCTTTAGGAAAAGACATTATCTTTCCAGGCAATTCTGACATTATAAGTTGCTGTTGAAGTTTGTTGGCTTTCATTTAGCAAGAAAGGCATAATAAATTCCAGAGTTAATGTAATGGGACTTCTCCTGTCACCTTAATTTTCCCTGACCTTTTATCCTGTGAAAATACCCACAACTTAATACTGTCAATCATTTATAAGATACATAACTACAAACTATAAGTATCTAAAATATCAATCAATCCTACAATTAAATGCAAACTTACTTTCAAATATGATAAAGCCAAGAGTGTTCCTGAAATTAGGTATGTGACTTTATTTTAAATAACTGTTCTCAAGTAGGGTTTGGATGGGGGTAGGGGCATATCCCTATCTACTGCTGCCCACCCCAGCTTCCCATTATAAACTGTCTTACAATAGGGACAGCAAGGGGAGAAGTGGCTAAGGAGAAAAACATTAAAATGAAAACAGCGTCTTACCTCTAATAAAGCCCATTTAGGAACCACTGGATAATATGCTAGAACTCACAGAGCTCAAGTTTTCTAACCACATATGGGGAAGTGCTAAACTGAGACTACAGATCGGATTTCTCATTTTGTCTCTTAGCTGTCCCACCTAAAACAGCAGGTGGAAATCATGATACTAGTGTTACAGTAAAATAACAAGAGTCTACATAACTCTTTACAACTACTCTAAAGATAAAACGAGATGTGAAATACAAATATATCTGTTAAAAGGTGTTATCAATGAGTAAAGAATTAACATTATTTGAACTTAAACCTCATTTCGATATAAAAGATTACAGTAATTTGAATTGCCTCACAATCTGACACTGAGATACAGAAAAAGACAAAAACACCTAGAGACCAACTAGGAATAAAAAGGGGTGTTAGGACTACCTAATATATATCCTACTCCAAGAATCTGATCAAAATTAAACCTAGTTTAAGAACTGCAAAATATACTCACTGATTAATTCTTCTGAATAGTCACTCTCAACACAAAGAAAAATAATGAATTAAGATTCTTAGTGAAATATTTGGAATTTTAACTAAAAATATTCACTGAACATTTTCTCACTAGAATATAAAATATAATACCTATACAATATAGGATAAGAGAGTAGGCTTAATTCTTTCTAATTATTTATGTTATGAGTGTGTACGGGTGTTTTTGCCTACAAGTATGGATGTGC